GCAACAATCTTGTGCAGCTATGCAATTGCTCAAACGAAGCAAGATAATCCGGCACTGTATATATATAGAGGATGCCATCTAGTACAGAATTGTGCGTCATACCGCTATTTTCACTCAACGTGCTGCGCACGCAACCCTCAGCGCACGTGCTATGCGATGACGACCTGCCCGACCCGGACCCGCACCACCCAGTTTCCCTACGCATCGCGACGCAAGGGCCAAACTCGCTGTGGCGACGCAAACTCCCTCGCACTTGAGCCGGCTTTGTGCACACCGCGCGGCGACGGAGCAAGGCACTCTCACGCACAGGTGTAGTCCGCGGCCGAAACTGCTTCCCACAGTCCCGGTAGCGGCTGTGAAGGCAGCCTCGGGCAAACGAAACAAAGTTCCTCCTGCGACATCGGCGCAAGGCTCATTGCAGGCGCCGCAAGAGCTGTTGTCGGAGAGATGTTCAGCCTGCGGCTTGGGTGGGAGAGGAGGTGCAATGCACCGGTCGCACATTTGAACGGCAGGATGAGGAAGTGGTGACAGGTTTCTGCCTCCAAAAGGGCTCTGGCGCGTTCTCGCCGTTCAGTTTGGGGAGGGACAACCGCCCAGCATGATACTGTAGTCCAGAAGGCATGCGTGCGCCAGTGGTCTCCATGCCATTGCAACTCAGGTGAAAACACGCCGGCGTTCTGTGATGATGCACTGCGCACCACTGAGGGTCATGCCAGCGTCTTGGGCGCTAGAAGCGGTCGGAGTGGCGGTCGATGACGGGCGCCGTAACACGAGAGCCCTTTTCCAGTAGAGCGACCATGATGTGGCTGTTGCTGTTTGTGAAAGGGTGGAATTTATGGAGTTGAGGATTGGTTCCGTTCAGGTTTCCGGCCAAGTACCTGTTGGCGACGGTGTCTACTGTGTGGTTCGAGTATGTTCTGCCTGTCCAACGACAGGGAGATGATGCATGATGTTTGCAGAAAAAAAAAGAAGCAATGGAAGAAGCAAGTGTTCAGCATTAGTGTTCCATGTCCATTTAAATCTAGCGCGGAAAATGAAGAAACCTCGTTTTTTGGACAACCTTGGGTGCATGGAATGGGAGTGCGGGTCCGGTCCATGCCAGGCATGGATCGGACATGTGTCGGAGCGGGTCGGGTTTGGTCGGAGTCCGGTGTTGGGTGGAACATGCGTCGAGCGTGGGTCGGGCTGGGTCGGGGCCTGCTCTTGGCCCCCTCCCTGATTTTTTGTTCAACTCGGAGGTTTTCGGTCGGTGTGACTAGAAAGCGGTGATTTCGAAAGAGTTTTCAACGTTTCTAGAAAGTTTTGGTTTTGGCTGTTGTCAGCGTTCCGTAAGGTTTCAAGCCAACAAGCGGTCTGACAAGGTATGATCGTCCACAGAATCTCCCCAATGCAGAAGCGCAGGCACGAACCCAAGTTCAATTATTTGGCGAGCCTAGAGTCCGTGACTATAATGGGATTTGCATGACTACACGAAACGTTCAAGCTCTAAACCCTAAAAGGAATAGGTCTGGGTGGTTGGCGCCTTATACGGCGAGCAAAGCCATCTGTAGACAGACTTTCGCCACTCGACACTTTTTTTTTTGCAAGATACCATCGTATGTGCTATTCCACGGCAAAACCCTGAACCGAAGACCCTAAACCCATTGTAGTGCACTTGTGCACGTAATGACACAGTTGCGACCGTTTCCGCAGCCGTGGCAAGCTGGAGTTGGGCAGGTGCGGTGCTTGCCTTTTGAAAGCCCACAGTTCATTTTACCGAGTTTTGAGAAGCACGTCTAATGCACCATGCCGACCGCAGCCATGGCCGTTTGCAGAGTTCCCTGTGACTCTGCGCACCCAGCAGCTGGTCCACTCGGCCCAGCTCCCACCGTGGGCGGCGGGGGGCAGCGGCGCGGCTTCTCTTCGGAGTCGCGCAGTTTTTGGCTACATTCGCTCGAACCCTAAAGAATCGAGGGCCCCGAGCCTAGACGACAGACTGGCAGAGGCGGTGCAATTGGTGCTGGCGGCGAAAGGCTATGGTAGATACCGTCCACGGACCAGCTAGGGCAAGCAGGGCAAGGGCAAGGGGCAGAACAGAGGCCATCGCCGAGTGAAAGCTTCAGACTTCAAGAAGATCTGAGCCCGGCAGGCTTGCCCCGGAGTTTTTGAATATTCCCGATAATAGCAGTTGCTTACCGGAAATGTTTGCATTGCATCAGGCACGGCAGACGTCGCTACTCGGGATGGACGCGCTGGGGCAGCAATCGCCCGACAGAGTGAATGCTCCTGGAACGCATTGCGGATCCAGGGTATTGTCTCGGGCGAAGCAGCACCGGACTGCAGAGGTGACGTCACGCCAGAGTTCGCGACGCCCCTGCACGTCACTCATGCTTGTTCTGTTGCGAGGCTCACAGAACCCAATCTTCGAGTTGAAACTCCTGCCCATCCTGTTAGCCTACAGGCTGCGGGGGCAGTGGTGCAGGTTCTCGCAAGTCATTTCTCAAATTGACAATGCAGGTGCTCGCCATGCGATGATGGCCACGGGAGGGGCTCTGACGTCGCTCGTGTGATTATCGATGGCATCCTGCAGAAAGAAACCGTTTTGCAAATCCGCTCATGGTACGCCCGAGTACCAACCCATAGCAACTTGGCTGACGCGCCAAGCCGAAGAGGAGAGATTAAGGATCTCCTGAGCAAAGCATGCTCCAGAGTCTTTGTCAACTGGAATGATGTGATGCGGCAGTGTTTTCCAATGGGGTGATTCAGACAGCCAGCATCTCGCCCCTGTGAAAAGATCGGAGAGCTTTGGCTTGATTGAGGAAAGAGTGGAAGTTTCATTTATTTTTTGAAAATATAATTTGATTCTTAACATATTCCTCTTCTTTGTTTTCACGGTGCTCAGGAAATAATGCCGAGGCTACTTGCTGCAGCCCCGCCCAGGTGTTCAGCAGGCTCAACGACAGCCTTGGCTCTCTTTTGAAAAGTCTAGTCAGGGGGAGTTTTGTGTGACTGTGCCCCTGCCTCGGGGCCGAGGCCAACACGGTAAAAAAGGACAGGCCACGTGCTAGAGCAGTGCAAGCGTATCTAAAATCTAGAACCTAACTATCTTGCTGCGGTGACGTGTTTGAGTCTACATAAAACATGATGGTTGTTGGTTCCTCAACTGCCCTGCCACCTTCGGAACCGCGGCCTGTCCAAACTTCAAGACGTGAGTTCAAGGTGTGTAAGTTCACATTAATGGACAAAACCAAATCAAGTTTGGCAGGAATTGCAAGAATCTGTTTCGGGATCATCTTTGCAATTCAAATCATGCTAATTTGCTGCAATTTGGGGATTTAGGTGCTTCAACAAAGCTATGACAAGCACAGCCGAGTTTAGTTTCACTGTTTTACACAAGCCAGTAATCAATAGACGGTAACATGCACGAACCAACGGCTCATGGAAGCTGTGATGCTGTCTTGGGGATCTGAGTAGCTGATTGATTAGAATGGCACCAGGTGGTGTGAACACGCACATTTGCAAACACATTTGCATGTTATGGACGGAACATTCCGGTTGGAGCATATCAATGCCATCCAGTATATAATGTCGCGAAGTGAAGCCTACAAGTGCCCAAATTCACGGTTTTGTCGTGCTTTTTTCGGCACTTGAACTTTGGGGGCCTCACCCCTTTGCCGTTCTTTCCTCGACCCGCTGTCGTTGCCTTTCCTGAACGTTTGTGCCCCCTCTCTGGCATTCGGTCCGTGGCTTGGACACGGGATGAGTGCAAACGTGTTTTGTCCGTTCTAGCTTACATCACCTGTGCAAAGTATTGAAGCTTTTCGTGCGAAAGTTTCTGTATGCAGGCAGACGCGTTCAGATATTGACACGCATGCTTGTCGGCTCAAACTGCTTTAGAAAATGCTTGTTTTTCGCACCCGCGATCCCTAGCCCGCCTGTTCTATGCCGGGGCCATGCAAGCCAACGAGCGGCCGCCAATTGGCAAGGGGTGGCCGCCAATTGGCAAGGGCAAATGGCAACCGCCAATCGGCAAGGGATCCTTTGGCCTGTTTTTGTGATCTTCGGAGTCCTTTGCCTTGTTCGCATCTTCGAAAGCATAGCGCTGCCAGGTGCCATGCCCATGGGCGGTGGCAAGGGCAAGGGGCCACCACCGGGGCCGGGAAACTTCGGACCAGGGCCTGCAGGTGGGTCTGCCGCGGTGAAGCGAGGAGGTGGAGACGTGACCTTATCCAGGCGTCATGCCGCCTCCACCGGTGCCTGCCAATCGAAAGACGCAGCTTTGTGCCGGGATCCTGGCTCCTGCAGATGGTTGAGCGTTGAAGTTTGGAGATGGTGCAGCATTCATGTATTACTATGTAGTTGGCGGTTGTGTGTTTTTACTCATCAGGTCAATCTGGGGTTTGTCCATGTAAGGGAAAGATGTATTGTTCGATTAATCTATCGACTGTGACACTCGGTGAGGGTGCTGTTGTTGTTGTTGCCTCAAAGGTCTACTTCAAGGAAGGTCGCTGCACGCGTGGAACTGCTTGCAGTCGGGCTGCCCGGAAAGCAGTGCTTCCTCCATCTGTCGCAATCGATGGATCCAAGCATCGTTCGAATTTGCCAGATTACGCTCACGGCGAGCATGAGCTGGTGGAGAGGGGCGTGCCCAGCAACTGGCATGCATTATCTGTCGGAGGTTTGTAGTCTTCCTGATTTTTGTTGGCTTTGGCCCACTTTGGTTGGGTTGCTGAGAAGTTCACTGGAATGCTTGTTGCTGCGAGGCAGACCACCGCCGCCTCCACGAGAAGTGCGGCATCCAGTTGGGACCAGATTCGACGTACTTGGCTCAGTGGCTTAGTGTCCAGCGCAGAACGCAGGTTGGCAAGGCATCGCCATCCTGTAAACTTCCTTGGATCAGCATTGGGCATCCTACTTTAGGCCTGTAATGCCCTGTACCTGCAGATACCCGCAGCTTCACTAACATAGAATGCAGCTGCAATCGCTTACTCAGGTGAGATCTGGCCCACAGGCTGACTCAAACTGTCATGAGTCCACAGGATCAAGACGTGTGGAGACCACAACTTAGTATGTGGCCTAAGACGCAGCGATTGAAATTTTCGGGATGGTACTTGGCTGTGGTGGTGTTCAAGCGGTCAGGTGTTGCTGGAGTTTTAAAGTCACGGTCGCACTGTGTGTTTCGGTGGCTTTCCGAATCTTCATTTCGCAGCTCTTTGGCGGTTGCAGTTGCATTGCGATAGTTCGCTTCGGAAGAATCCTACTTCTCTTGGCTTGCACGTGTCGGGCCCATGCTAATGTGATGGTCATGAAGGTCCATCGGCCGCCTCGAGACATGCGACCATCTTCTAGGTCGAGGCTGTGACCTTCGGTGGCCGGAACCAATCCCGGGATTTGGCCATTCGCAGGTCGCAGAGACGGATCAGAAAAGTCGTCTTTGCAAAGTCTGTGCCTTACAGCAGATGCAGCTTCTCGATTACCTATCGACGAACAGGAGGTTTGCAGATGATCGGTAACTCGAAACGAGGTCCGAAGCAGTGGGTGCTGTTGAGCGGCCGCATCCACAGATGCGGCTCGGTCGCATTACTCGTGTGTTCTCGTGTGCAGCTCAGGCCAGACTGCTCACTCCGTTCAGCAACTGAGCAGGAACCTGTGCTCCCTGCGAGTTCAGCCCGGAGTCTCCATTGCCTGTGCTGTGCTGTGCCTTTTGCCAGGCCGCCGATTTGCCCGAGCAGAATCTGGCGAACGGGCAGTCACCTGAGCCTCCAACCAACACGATGTCAGTCCTTTCTGTCCTGCCGGAGGTCTGCGCCAAAGGTTGCCGAGGAAGGTGAGGCGCAGGCTAGAGCCCATTGAACATGCTTTCGCTGTGCGGACCTGTCGAGCTTGCAAGTCTAATTCAAAATTCATGGCCAATAAACTTTCTGGTGTTGAGGCTTGCTCAGAATTCGTTGAAAAAAGCGGTTCGCTTATGACAAATATGTGTGCGACTTGCAGGAGAGCACTGTGCCCGAGAACGGGGAAAAACCCAAGGAAGCAGAGGCAGGTGTGATCAAGAAGTTGTCCTGCGTTGGTGTGTGTGTGTGTGCGCCTGCTTTTCTGCAATGCCATGATTGTGCGAGGGTATAGATGTGGACGTTGACGCAGAAGCAGAGGCCAAAACTTCCTGGGTGCATGGCTTCGTGCATGAGGAGTGGGATATCAGGGTTTCTTTAATATAAGTCCTGTGAAAGGCTGCAGAAAAGGAGCCACCGTCACCCCGGCTTGTTAGACGCAAGGTGGTGAACCGGCTAAGGACTCTGGCAACCTGTTTGTTTTGGCGTCTTCACACTGCCAGGAAGGGTGCTCCTGCCGCGGCGCCTGCTCCTGTTGTAGCATCTTTCCTTCTTAGCGAGGACGGCCTCTCATACTCTCGTGCACTTGTCAGTGATCTCAGCGTCTCAACATGTCTCAACAAAGCCTGTGAGGATGGTGCTGGGGAGCTCAGCCAGATGTATGGAGGGGGCCCAAGACGGGAGCAGCTTCGGTGCCATAGTGCTATTTCTTCGGAGCAACGCTTGTTCGGGGCCCGGCCCGGCGAGGCCTTGGAGCGCAGCTGCTCCGGAGCGGCGGTCTCAGCCACACGGAGTGCGTCACCTTGCCAATTGTACTCGTTAGAGTCTTCTTGTTGTTTGTTTAAGAAGCAGAAATTTACTGACATCTCGGCTGGTTAACACAACAAACCTGTAGATGTGTACACGGCTGCACGTGCATGTGTGCATGTCTGCATGCGTGCATGTCTGCACTGGACGGCGTTTCCTTGCATGGCAGTGTTTCATAGGTTTGCACGTCGCGTCTTTTTTATTTCTTTGACAGACGAAAGGAAACGGAGGAAACTCCAGTGACCAGGCATGGGCTGGCAACCAGGAAGCGGTGTGGGAGCCAATCTAGACGGAGAGCCCGGGACTCAAGGGTTCAGAGTGGCCGCAACCTCGTGTGACAAACGGTTGTCGGGTTCAGAGGGGCGGCCAGAAGTTCGGGGTGCGCGGGCGAACGAGGCTTGAACCAGTCTCCATCCAGATCTTGGGCTTGCCTTCCACTCACTTCGGGCGGAAGGCGGGGCTCGGGTACCGCAGCCTCCAACCTGTGAATCTACTACACCTTCCCAGCTTCCCCAGGATCGGCGCTGCTTGGGCCGAAAGAAGCCTAGGCGCCTCCGGGACTCTGACGAGCGAGAGGCCAAGTGGTTGATTTCTCGCAGAGCAGTGACGTGGCCTTCGGCCAGAGTCGGTTGTGAGACGAACTGCCCTGTATGCATAGATACGCCTGTAGTAAAGCACAGCTCTTGTCGTGATGGTCGTGGTCGTGGCGGTCGTCCTTGGCGTGGTGTGCGCATTGATGTTGCTGCTGTTGCTGGTGTGGGGCCGGCTCCAGGTCGAGTCCATCCAGGACGCCGTCAACATCGTCCAGTAGATCTACAAGCAAGCAGAGACCTGAAAACTTAGACTTAGATCGACTGCGCATGTGGATACGCTGGAAGGTCATCGCAAAAGAGCTCGAGAAGTAGCAGCCCCTCGAGCCGGAAGAAGCGAAGAAGGACGAGCCAGCAAATCAAAGCCTGTGTTGGTTTCTGGAAGTCTGGAAGTCTCTTTTGGCTTCTTGCGCTCTGCCAGCGTATCCCCTCCTGGAGCCATCTGGAGTCCTGGAATATCTTTCCGGCACCTTGCGGTGCTGGCAGCTTTGCAGCCATAGGAGACGGAAGAAGCGAAAGAAGTCTCGCAGCAG